TGATGCCTTATTTGTTGTTAATTGTTAATTAAGAAGACAGTAAGGGGGTGAGAAAGAAGATAAGCTACAAGGCGCGGCTATAGGGTTAAGCCTCGGACTGACGTGTTGGCAAAGCCACAAACAAGTCCCAGCTTAGAGGGCACCGTCCTCTTAGCATAATTAGGCTTGACCTTATGACACTCCCTAGATCTTATCTGGGAAGCTAATGGGCTGAGGGAGATGTAGCAAGTGCTGCCAAAACAAGTGAAACTCACAAGAACATTGTAACTGTGGTGACCACTACCTTGTTTACCTCTGACTATAAAATAAAGGCTCAGCTTGCTTCTGGATCTCTCTCTGTGGCCTCAGCCAGGCACAGAAAGATCCACCTAGACCAGTGATTCTCAACCTTCTGGCCCTTTAAATACAATTCCTCATGTTGTGACCCAACCATAAAATTATTTTCGTTGCTACCTCATAACTGTAATGTTGCTACTCTTTTTTAAAAAATATATTTTATTGATTTTTTACAGAGAGGAAGGGAGAGGGAGAGAGAGTTAGAAACATCGATGAGAGAGAAACATCGATTCAGCTGCTTCCTGCACACTCCCTACTAGGGAGGTTCCCACAACCAAGGTACATGCCCTTGACCGGAATCGAACCCGGGGCCCTTCAGTCTGCAGGCTGACGCTCTATCCACTGAGCCAAACAGGTTAGCCAGGGGTGGGTAAACTTTTTGACTCGAGGGCCACAATGGGTTCTTAAACTGGACCGGAGGGCCTGAACAAAAGCATGGATGGAGTGTTTGTGTGAACTAATATAAATTCAAAGTAAACATCATTACATAAAAGGGTACGGTCTTTTTTTTTTTTTTTTTTTTTTTTTAGTTTTATTCATTTCAAACGGACCGGATCCGGCCCGCGGGCCGTAGTTTGCCCGAGGCTGGAACCATTAGGCAAATGTTGCTACTCTTATGAATCGTAATGTAAATATCTGATATGCAGGATGGTCTTAGGCAACCCCTGTGAAAGGGTCATTCAACTGCCAAAGGGATCGTGACCCACAGGTTAAGAACCGCTGACCTAGACCCAGCTTATTCTCTTTGTCTGTCATTTCTTCATCCATTCACCACCCTCACTCAGGCTTATGAACCCTTGCCTGAGCTGGCTCGGCCCAATAAGCATTGGAGGGAGGAAGGTGAGAAAACACCTTTCCATCTACACTTACTGCAAACCACAAAGAAACCCAAAGTACATGTGAACTCACTGAATGATTTGTCCCCCAGAAAGTGGCTCCTGGGAAACAGTGTTGAGATGCTTCCAGGCGTGCCACTGTCTAGTCTTCAAGAGGTACACTTTCATTTTGTACCTGAAACGGTGAAATGCTTGCTCTCTCTGATATCTTAATTTTAATCCAAATTTCTCCCATGGCCTTCCGGCTAATATCTCCCACTATAGATATGCTAACTAACTGGTGGAATTCTGCTTAAGGTTTGAGTTTTTGTAAGAGCAGCCACTTGTCAGAAGGAGCCTTTTCCAAAGAGGTGGGGATATATATACAAAGTAATGACAGTTTATCAAAGATTTACAGGAGTCAGGCTCAGTTACAGACCAGGCTCAGTTCAGCTGGGGTCAAGGGACAGATAGGAACAAAATAATTTAGAAATTTCTTGCTCTTTCTTGGACCCTGGTCATGCCTAACTATCTAAGATCCTACCCACCTCCCCCATCCCTCCCTTTCCTTGACATAAATGAACCTGAAATCTGGGTTCTCTTAACATGGAATTGTGGAAGCTATAAGGCACCCTTCCCCCTCCATCTTCTTGAGCTGGATCTTCTTGGTCAATGAATATTTGCTTACTTCAAACTCTGATGTTTTAAATATTGTTCTTGTGTGTGTTTTTAAGCATTGGGCACACAAACCTTGTACAAGCAACAAAACTTCCAGGTAGGACCTCCATCATAAATCATGAATTATTCATGTGGAGAGCTATATCAAATCCAAAAAAAAATATTAAAGTGCTTTCTACCATGAGTGAATAGATTCAGAGCCCCTAGTGATCCCACTTGCTCTGTGAGGCCTGAATCAGACTAAGAAGGCAAGCATGGGGATTGGGAGCAGGCCTTCACTTCACAGAGAGAAAGCTCAGCATACAAATACTGATGCGGCAGCTCTTGGAAAGAAGGAGTCTGATATGACGACCACTTACTGTTACTTGAAGGACTCATTTTAATTGTGAATTTAATACTAGACTGGGGGACAATTTTCTGATGGAACTGAAGGAAGAATTTACCACAGAGAGAGGCAGAACACAGTATGATTTTCTGGATATGTAATCAGTGGAGGACACCAGATGTTGCACCTTGATCCTTGACTTGGGCTAAGAAAAAAATTTAGAGCCAAGGAACTCCAGTACAAGCAAAAGTTTATTTAGGAAGTCACAGGAGTAGAAGTAATTCATGGAAGAACTGAGCCAGCTAGACTGCACGGACTCAGGAAGCAAGTTACAAGAGGCAAACGAGGGCCCTCGGAGCTTAGGAGAAAGAAAGCAAAGATAATGCACCTGAGGGAAGAAAGAGGGAAGGAAAAGTTTGGGCATGCTCTAGAGCAGTGGTTCTCAACCTTGGCTGCACATTAGAATCACCTGGGGATCTTTTTAAAATCCTGATTTCTGGGCCCCATCCTCCGGAAATTCTGTTTCTTTGTTACTAATGTTGTGGCCCCACCCCATAACAAAGAAACAGAATTTCCGGAGGATGAGGCCCAGAAATCAGGATTTTAAAAAGATTCCCAGGTGATTCTAATGTGCAGCCAAGGTTGAGAACCAGTGCTCTAGAAAGAGAGTGCACCTGAGGGAAGAAGGGGATAGGGAAAAGTATGGTTATGAGAGAGAGAGAGAGAGAGAGAGAGAGAGAGAGAGAGAGAGAGAGAGAGAGAGAGAGAGACCTGGTCCTTCATCTTGAGGGCATCTATTTCCCAAAGGCATGGATTTTAGGGGAGATCTCAGGGGAGGATCTGGTTCCAAAGTCAGCCATGTCATTGCTTCATCTGGTTTTGCTTTTCTGGGCCTGGAGCTGAAACACATCTGGCCTAGATGTTATCTCTAGTTTGAACAAAACACTCTCTGTGGTCAACAGATCCAAGGCTTTGTTTTTAAGATTATTTGATTCGGGTCAGAATCTCATTGTCCTGGGGGCTTAATACTTAAGGGAGTGGTCATGCAAGGGCTTGCATGAGAGTTGTATGATGCTATTTTCTGGCCCCCTTGTACCTCCTCTAAGGGTGTCTCACACATGACTAGCAACATTCCAAGGGATGAAAGTTCAGGGGAGAATCTGAACTGCATGACCAGCGATATGAAAGGTCAAGGCATATAAACTGTATGACCAGTGATCTGCCAGGGGAGGAAAAGTCACCTTGGGGGTGAAGTCCCACCATACAATACTTGTTTACGAAGTTTCCCCCATTGCTAGGCACTCAGGACTTTCAATCCTGGTAACCTTCTGTATCTGGCCTGTAGTTTCTACTCTGGTCATATCTGTGTAACTGCCTACAATATCAGATACACTTAAAGCTGCAAGGGTAAGGAAGAGCTGGGACACTAATATGTGTTTATCTGTATACTGAGAATGTAGAATTATTGAAGCTTGTTTTGTTTAAAGAATCTTCTGAAAATTAATATTATTCTTCATTGGACATGATTATCTCTGCCTTCAAGCAGATACCCATGTTAGTACCTCCATTTTAAGGTTAATCTGCCTGGGTTAGTCTTCTGGTAACAGAGTAGGCATCTAGACAGGCATAAGCAGAGCAGGAACCAAAGTCATGAGTGGAAATTCCTGGGTCCCTAACAAGGAACAAAACTAGAGAAAACAAGTATTATAGGCTTGGATCATACTCCCAAGGTGACCTTTCCTCCCTAGCATGTCACTAGTCATACAGTTTAGACCCTTTGACCTTTTATATCATTAATCATGCAATTTAGATCCCCTTTTTAAGAGGAACAAGGGGGCAGGGAATAGAATCATACAACTCCCATACAAGCCCTTGCATGACCATTCCCTGAAGCATTAAACCCCCAGAAAAATGAGGTTCTGACCCGCATAAAATAATCTTATGAACAAAGCCTTGGATCTGTTGACCACAGAGAGCGTTTGGTCAGACTAGAGATAACAGCTAGGCCTCAGTTGAGTTTCAGCTCCAGGCCCAGAAAAGCAGCAAAACCAGATGAAGAAATGACATGGCTGACTTTGGGACCAGATTTAATTACTAATGATCTCCTACCCTAGCACTAATCAATCAGTAGAGATCACAACCCTGAATGGACACGCTTTGGGAAGCTGATGCATATTCTATCGAGATCCACCTCTGAGACCTCCCCTAAAATCCCCACCTTTAGAAAACAAATAAAAGCCCTTAAGATGAAGAACCCAGCAGGTGCTCTCCCTCACTTGAATACACCCACACCTTTCTGCACCTTTTGTCCCCAGGCACACTCTCTCTAGCATGCCTGTGCCTTTCCCCATCTTCCCTCGGGTGCATTATCTTTGCTTTCTTTCTCCTAAACTCCAAAAGGCATTCTTTTGCCTCTGTAATTTGTTTCTTAAGTCAAGCAGTTCAGCAGGCTCACTTCTTCTAACTTTTGCTTGTATTTGAGTTTTTGGCTCTGAATTCTTTCTTAGCCAAACCAGATGTAATTACTAATGATGCCCTACCTCCTAGCACTAATCAATCAGTAGAGATCACAACCCTGAAAGGACTGGGGTGTAATTCTGCCATGTTAATCAGAAGGGACTAGATCAGTGATGGTGAACCTTTTGAGCTCAGCGTGTCAGCATTTTGAAAAACCCTAACTTAACTCTGGTGCTGTGTCACATACAGAAATTTTTTGATATTTGCAACCATAGTAAAACAAAGACTTATATTTTTGATATTTATTTTATATATTTAAATGCCATTTAACAAAAATCAACCAAAAAATGAGTTCGTGTCATAAGTTCGCCATAACTGGACTAGATAGTACTCCTTTTTTTGTGGGGTAGCAATAGTCTCCCCACAGAACAGAGACCTCTCATTTATCGCCTGATGACTGTTTCTCTTGCTGTGCCTGACCCCTCCAGGACAGGACCCCACCTTTCTTTTCCCAGTCTCCACCTGTCCAGACCACTTTCCTTCCCATTGGCACCCCGGCTGTGCAAGTCTGAACCTGGACCATCTGTTGTCACCTATCACTTTATTCCACAGATGCAGGTCCCAGTGGTCTCATGACCCAGGTGGAAGATTACATGAGTGGAGCCATATTAAAATAGAGCCTAAGGGAGAAAACCAAGATGGTGGCATAGGTAAACACCTGAAATTGCTGCCTCGCACAACCACTTCAAAAATACAACTGAAAGGAGTGCAGCTCTAGTCAGGGCCACCAGAACGAGAGCCCCAGAACTGCCTCAGCACCTAGGACTACAACTCCCGGCATGCCATGAATGCGATGGCTGAGGCTCAGGGGCGGAGCCCGGCCCTGTGGCGCTACCCGCTGGATGGCCCCAACCCCCTGCCTGGCCACGTGCACGGAGCGGGCTAGAGAGCCATGGAGGAGCCGCCGCTCCGGCCCAGCCCGGGGCTCCTGCAAGTCGCACCTGGAGAAGCTGACCCTGGGGGTCACCCGCATCCTGGAATCATCCCTAGGTGTGACAGAGGTGACCATCATAGAAAAGGCACCTGCTGAACGCCATATGATTTTTTCATGGGAACAAAAAAATAACTGTGTTGCCTGAGGATGTCAAGAATTTTTACCTGGTGACCAACGGCTTCTACATGGCATGGAGTGTGAAGCTGGATGAGCACACCATCCCATTGGGCAACATGGCAATTAATAGTATCACAAAACTGACTCAACTCAGCCAGTCTTCCATGTACTCACTTCCTAATGCACCAACTCGGGCTGACCTGGAGGACAATACACAAGAAGCCAGTGAGAACCAGCCAGAGAAGCCCCACTTTGACTCTCGCAGTGTGATATTTGACCTGGACCTTTGCAATGGGAATGGGAAGGTTTGCCGTGTCCACAAAAAAGGGAAACCAGCATTAGCGCAAGACACTGAGATCTGGTTCCTGGACAGAGCACTGTACTGGCATTTCCTCACAGATACCTTTACAGCCTATTACCGCCTGCTCCTCACGCACCTGGGCCTGCCCCAGTGGCATTATGCCTTCACCAGCTATGGCATCAGCCCACAGGCCAAGCAATGGTTCAATATGTATAAGCCCATCACCTACAACACGAGCCTGCTCACTGAAGAGACTGACTACTTTGTGAACAAGCTGGAGCCCAGCAAAGTGTTCAAGAGCAAGAACAAGATCTTAATCCCCAAAAAGAAAGAGTCTGCTCCATCTGAAGGCAGCCAGAAAGGGTCCTTGGGTCCTCCCTCCACCCCCTCCACCCCTAAATCCTCCTCTGGCTCTGGAAACCCTGTGCGGAAATGAGTCTCCCTCCCCCTACCCCCAGCTCCCTGCAGCCCCACAGTGATGATTTCCATGCACAGATGCCCAGGGGGGCCCAAGCCTGAGGGCCTCCTCCCATCTGAGTGACCAAACCCTAGGCCTCTTACTCCCATGAATTAGCCAGGAGTTGGAAGGGCATACTCAGGTCTCCCTGAGAGTCCTCCTCTCATGCCACCCCTACCTCCAGAAGCTGTGTAAAATTTTAGATCTTGTTTAAAGTAGCCAAATAGATCCGTTCAGAGGTTCCTCTCTTCCCAGAAGCAGCCCCCCAGCAGTAACTGAGGAGTGCCCCAAAGAAGCCGCTGGTTTAGAACCACGAGGCATTAGAACTGCAATGTTCTGAGAGAACCAAGATGGCGGCATAGGTTAACGCTGGAGTTTGCTGCCTTGAACAACTACTTCAAAAGTGAAACTAAAAAACGGAACGGACAACACCCAGAACCACAGGAACGCTGGCTGAGTGGAAGTCCTACAACTAGGAGGAAAAAGAAATGCATACGGACACTCAGAGGAGGCGCAGTGCTGAAGTCAAATTCTGAGGTGCGGAGTGCGCGGAGCGGGCTGGCGGCGGAGGGCGCGGTTGGTGTTTTCAATCGGGAGGGAGTCGCAGACTCTGAGCTCCAGATACAGGCGAGTCTTTAGGGACCCAGACTCAAACGGGAGAAGCGGGACTGTCTGGCTTCGGTCAGAGCGAGTGCAGCTTTCTCTCCGAGGTTTGCAGCGGGTGCTGGGACCCAGAGAGGCAGAGCCCCTGGGGACGGGACTGAGAGCCGCCATAACTGCTCTCTCCGGCCCACCCTGTTGATCCTGTGCGACCCGCCCCGCCCAAGCCCTGCTCAGAGGCATTTGCCGGATAGCCTCAGGCAAAGGCTAGATTAGCACCTGCCTAGAGGACAGAAGTTCTCTCACTGCAGACACAGCTGATTCTCATAGCCACTTGGCCTGGAGGTCAAACCCTCCCTGGTATTAGCTACAACAATCAAGGTTTAACAATAAGACTGCGAACAAAGACCACTAGGGGGTGCACCAAGGAAGCATAACAAAATGCGGAGACAAAGAAACAGGACAAAATTGTCAATGGAAGATATAGAGTTCAGAACCACACTTTTAAGGTCTCTCAAGAACTGTTTAGAAGCCGCCAATAAACTTAATGAGATCTACAAGAAAACTAATGAGACCCTTGATGTTATATTGGGGAACCAACTAGAAATTAAGCATACACGGACTGAAATAACGAATATTATACAGACTCCCGACAGCAGACCAGAGGAGCGCAAGAATCAAGTCAATGATTTGAAATGCGAGGAAGCAAAAAACACCCAACCGGAAAAGCAAAATGAAAAAAGAATCCAAAAATGCAAGGATAGTGTAAGGAGCCTCTGGGACAGCTTCAAGCGTACCAACATCAGAATTATAGGGGTGCCAGAAGATGAGAGAGAGCAAGATATTGAAAACCTATTTGAAGAAATAATGACAGAAAACTTCCCCCACCTGGTGAAAGAAATGGACTTTCAGGTCCAAGAAGCGCAGAGAACCCCAAACAAAAGGAATCCAAAGAGGACCACACCAAGACACATCATAATTAAAATGCCAAGAGCAAAAGATAAAGAGAGAATCTTAAAAACAGCAAGAGAAAGACAGTCAGTTACCTACAAGGGAATACCCATACAACTGTCAGCTGATTTCTCAACAGAAACTTTGCAGGCCAGAAGGGAGTGGCAAGAAATATTCAAAGTGATGAATACCAAGAACCTACAACCAAGATTACTTTATCCAGCAAAGCTATCATTCAGAATTGAAGGTCAGATAAAGAGCTTCACAGATAAGGAAAAGCTAAAGGAGTTCATCACCACCAAACCAGGATTATATGAAATGCTGAAAGGTATCCTTTAAGAAGAGGAAGAGGAAGAAAAAGGTAAAGATACAAATTATGAACAACAAATATGCATCTATCAACAAGTGAATCTAAGAATCAAGTGAATAAATAATCTGATGAACAGAATGAACTGTTGATTATAATAGAATCAGGGGCATAGAAAGGGAATGGACTGACTATTCTTGGGGGGGGGGAAGGGGTGTGGGAGATGCGGTTAGAGACTGGACAAAAATCGTGCACCTATGGATGAGGACAGTGGGTGGGGAGTGAGGGCGGAAGGTGGGGCGGGAACTGGGAGGAGGGGAGTTATGGGGAGGAAAAAAGAGGAACAAATGTAATAATCTGAACAATAAAGATTTAATTAAAAAAAAAAAGAACTGCAATGTTCTGTTGGTAGCGACTAATCACATGTCGCTATTTAAATCTAAGTTATACTACAAATCCATGTCCTTATAACGTATCTTGCATTATAGCCACACTGAATATTCATGTGGCTAGTGGATTCCACATGTACAGTGCAGAGATACTAGAACATTTCTATCACCACAGAAAATTCTATTGGATGGCACCCCATTATAATCTTGCCACTGTTCTTCCTCAGTTCAATTAATATTTGTTAGAGAATGTTGATACCTTAGTTTGGTGATTATAATGTTCCATGGACACTCTTGAAAATATAATTGTATGTTCTTTATATCCTTCACCACAAATCTGCATTTTTTTCCAGGTTTTTTTTAATAAAGTTTCTTGCTTCCAAAAAAAAATAATCAACTAAAAGACAAAATGGACATCATCCAGAACCACAGGAAGGCTGGCTGAGTGGAAATTCTACAATTAGAAGGAAAGAGAAAAGCACACTGAGACTCAGAGGAGGTGCAGAAGTAAAGTGCAGAGGTACGGAGGCGTGCACGGAGAGGGCTGGCAACTGAGGACATGGTTGTCTTTTTCAATTGGGAGGGAGGCACAAGCTCCCAACTGCTCTGAACTCCAGTTCCGGGCAAGTCTCTGGGGACCCAGACTCATACAGGAAGAAACTGGACTGTCTGGCATCAGGCAGAACTCCAGGGAGGCGTTCTCTCAGAGGTGCTTGCAGCAATTACCGCAGGACACTGAGACCCTGGGCCTCTTAAGGCAGGGCTGAGGATCAGCCATAGCTGTTTGCTCCACCCTGTTGATTCCCTGAGACCTTGCCCCACCCAAGCTGTATGCAGAGGCTCTTGCATATGAATGACCTATCCCTTTGCAATCTAAAATTACCTAAAAACCTGCAGCTGGATCAGAGAGAACCAGAACTTCCAAAAGAAGCCCCAAGGCCCCACAGCAGCTTGCATTGCTTCATAGCTGGGCCTCATCTGGGCACCTCCAAACCCCAAACAAAGAAGAGGAATCTGCAGATCTCTCCATAGCTCCTGCTGGGTAGCCTCAGGAAGAGGCTAAATTACCACCTCCTTAGAGATCCAAGTGCCAGTATACCCAGTGGTCAGAGTGAGACCATCCAGATTACAACTCTTCAGATCCATAAGGGACACACTCAGGGGGCAGACTCAGTGAGCACCAAAGCCCCACTGAAGCAAGTCTTGCCCCAGAAGGGTGTCTCCAGCACAGAAGTTCTCCCACCGTAGACACAGCTGATTCTCACAGCCAATTGGCCTGAAGGTCAATTCCTCCCAGTGATACCTACAACAATCATGACGTAACTACAACAAGATTGTGTACAAAGGCCACAAAGGGGTGCACCAAGAGTATTCACCTCAGGTAATTGGGGAGGCTGAGCCACTGGGCCTTATAGGACACCTAGCACAGAAAGCCACTCTATCAACACAGGGAAGCAGCCAAAATGCGGAAACAAAGAAACAGGTCACAGATGACAGAAATGGAAGAAAGCAAACTACTGGATATAGAGTTAAAATAAAGTCTAAGTAGCCATTACAGAAGAACTGCTCTGAACATTTATTTTTCTTTATCTTACAAGCTGGACCAAACCACCATAATTCCAAGAAGGCCAAGAATATCCTATTTGTAAAGACTGGTGAAATTAGACTTTGAGAATGACCAGATTGCTAACCAACAAATTAAATACAATTTCAGGTGAATCTCAAGCCAACCCATGAAGTACAAATCTAACCCTACCTCATCTAGCACCAATAAACTTCTTTAATACAACTTACCTCATCTTTCTCCCCTTTTCCCATAAAAACTTGAGCCCCTATAAAGGGAGAACACTGTTTGGGTTTCTGCCTGAATTTATTCTCCCGAATTGCAATTCCTTTGGATCTTAAAAAAATAAATAAATGCTTATTGCTTCTCATTTTTGCTTTCTATTTTTTCAGTTAGTACCCGGAAAGTACAAGGACCCAGAAACCAGCTCTGGTGATGTACAGATACAAATGCAGCAGAACACCAAGTAAGCATTCTTAGAATCTCCACTAAAGTGTTAACACTAGCAGGAAGAAAACTGATGAGTTTCAAGCTTGGGAAGAAGAGGAGATAAACTTAAGAAAAATTATATCTAAAGAAACAAATTTAAAAAATTAAAGTTTCCTTTCTCTCCCTCCACCCTCCACCCTCCTGCATCCTCACCGCTGGTAATGAGTGAAACTCTCATTACCCCAGAAATGTAGGGATGTCTGGCGGCTCCGACCTACAGACCCTCCTACTTATACAGAAGCTCCCAGGGCTAAGAATTCAGTTTACAGAAGAAAAATAGCCACTTCCATCATTTTTAAATGTAGTATATAAAGACAATAACAGAAGTAGTTAAACGGGATGGAAGTAGGGCCTTCCTCTCCCTATGACTTTGTCTAGATCAGATGCAGCTGTAAACAAAGGGACAAATAAAATGACTAAGTGATGACAGAAGCTGAGTCTAGTCTTTTCAAGAAATGTAAGGAAGCTTTGCCAAGAACTAAACAGACTCAAAGGCCAAGTACCCTGGGAATCTGTGAGAGCCACCAGCTCAGGAAGAGCCACAAGTCCACAGCATGTAGTGAAGCAGGAAGACTCGGATTTTTTTTCTTGAGTTGACTCTGGTGGCAGAAAGGATGACTGGTAAGCAAGGAAACCTACTCCCAGCTGTGCCACGAACTAGCAGCAGCCCTGAGCAAGC